CAAGAGCTGTTTGGGTGATATATTTTCTTTCTTTTGTATTTTATTAAATTTTTCCTCTCATAGTTTGAGATAAACCATTTTTCAAGTCCTACTATTAGCTAACCTCTCTATATATACATTTATTTATATATAAATTTATCCGGTTCACAAATTCTCAATCGTTCATAAAATAATTTCGATTCATCCAATCAAGTACAAATAAATTTTTTTTATACTTGTAGTGTGTGACACTTGATGTTCATACAGTTTTTTTTTCAAGTATCAATTAATTTATTACCGATTAATTAATTAAATTAGTTACCGGTTTTCGACGGCAACTTCGATTCGTCTCCATTGTTGTAACAATGTAACTGTTAAAATAATGACAAAAGTTGTCGTGGAAAACCGGTTTTTCAGCCAAGCTAACCAAACCGACTGTGCATTGTTACAACAATGCAGACAAATCTTGCTCTTTTTTTAATTTATACTATTAGTTCACACTCTCGTGGCCGCGGTAGCTAAGTGGTCAAGGTATCGGAACACTGTACGTGTCATGAGCTCGAGCCCGGTTCCACTAAAGACCCGCCGTGTAGGGAAGCGATGAACGTTAAATCTGTCGAGGGCTCAAACGTCCCCCGCTGGTGGGTAGTTGGGGGGGGGTGCCAGTAAGGTTTTCCCCGTCTTTTGACCGTGGAAAAATTAGGACCCTCCCCCAAAGCCCGCGTGTAGCTGAACGGGGGGTTAATATTACTCCTCACCCGGGGGTCGACCCCACTTCAAAACTTCCCGCCCCTCGTGACGACTTAGAGTTACGACGAATTTATTGTACATAATCCTCTTTGAACCCCAGTGGCTGGTGGTAGAAAACCCCTTTTTCCACGCCACGGTCTGGGGTTCAAATGGCGGGCAAAGCATCAGCCATTCACCCCTTCAGTGGATCGAAAATTAATCCCAGCTTTTTTTGGGAAAAAATGGTGTTTCGTGTCAAGAAACTGAAATTGGCGCAGTAGGCCTTGGCCCTAATGGGATATTGCTCCACTGAGTTTAGTTTAATCCCCTCTTCAAGGTGGATTTTCAGTTGCACTTGGAATCGAATCCACAACTCGACGACGATGGACACGAGTTCCTAACCATGACTCTTCTCAGCTAACACAACTACTTCATTTTATGAAATTGTGACTAACACAAATGTAATACAAATTGCGAAAATTTTATAAGAATTGTTTCCTTTATCATAAGGTGGCCTTGTTACCAAGAGGTCATACTTGTGAACTAGTGTTCGGGGTTTTAGAGGTGAAATTTCGTGTCCTAATGTCCTTAAAACCAGCCGTGTAAAGGGGAAGCAGCGTGTTAAAGTGACGAGGCTCAAAGTCTTTCCGTGGCATGGTGTGGAAGTTTAGAGAGGGAAATTCTAGTTTAGATGCCATTGTGAGACGAAGCCGGTCGCTTTCCCCTAATTGTTAAGATTGGTGCCGATAGACGTTGGGAAAATTCCGGACATTTCCCTAATAGCTGGGAAAGAATTTCGCAACTGGGCGGTCAAAGATTCGGACCCTCTTTTCCCAGGCTGTCCCGACCGTCGAAAAGAGACGCCGTGACATTGTGCTTTTGTTTTCCCACGATTCGGTGACGACAGCGCGTCTGAAAACTTACAATGTACACCGACCCACCGGGGCCCGGGGGGGAAAAAGATAAATGGGCTAAACCCGACAAGGGTGGCCCAAAAACAAGGATGAAAAATTAGGAGGTGAAAAGGTGGGAACAAGAGATATATAAAAAGGCTATAAAAATCGAAGGGACTGGTTTTTGGAACTTTTTGGAGGCCCCCCCCAGCAGAAATTGATCGGGGAGCCGGTAGGTCCCTTGTGAAAAAAAAACGATGGAGCCCGCGAAGTACGGCGGATTCTAAACCCGGGAAAAAACTTTACTAGGGGCCGGGGATTTAGCGAAGGGGGGGGCCCGGCCCGGGGCGTTTTTTGGAACGGGGAAAATTGGAAGGCACGATGGTTTAAAGCAGCAACTCCCCCAAAACTGGGTTTGGGAATTACCGAATGCCCCTTTTTTAAATCCTTTTTTTTTGGCTTTCCTCTAGGTGTAAATTTGGACATTATTTTATGCGAGAATAGAGACATTGCAGCAAAAGAGACTCAAAAATTTGGGACCCCACTAATTAATTGTGATAGAATATTTTTTTTTGATGTTTTTTCTTACTGAAAAAAAAATTTTAGTTTACCCCATAGCTGTGTGAAGTCTTTTTACCATCCTCGTCATCGAAAGGTTCTTAGGGTGGGCATTGCCACTCCGTTTTTAGAATGCGCAGTAATTTAAAATCAAATCATCATAAATTGTCTTTTTTCATCATTTCGCATTGTCAGAGCTCAAGTGCCTCCCCCTAGGGAGGAAACGGGGCTTCAAAATTACATTGCAGCAATTGGTATCTCACCTATATGGTGCCGTACTAAAAAGTGATATTAGCTCCCAGGGAATGTATAGGGTTTGCAATGGTAAATACGAAGCCACAACTCGATTGGAAGTAAAAAATATTGTCTTTTAAACCCTTTTTTAACTTCCTTGTATTAACGGAATCTTTGAATTTAATTTTTACCCACTTTAAATGGTCAGATTAATGTATCCGACTACGTTTGGAACCATGATTTTGCAAAAGCGTATAAAAGGTAAATATTTATGATATTTAGTGTAAACTTAGATTAGAAAAAAGTATGAAAACTTTTTAAAAAATATTATTACAATAAAACATTATTTAAGTACAATATTTTGACAAAAATAACAAAAAAGACCGATTTTCAAAATGTCTCCTTTTGTGAAAAAAACTTCTATTATAATAATATATTGCCTGTATATAGCTCAAATTTCCAAGGCTCAATAAATTTTGAAATATATTACTTAGAAATTGGGTTTTATCCATGTTTTACGAAACAGAGGGGGGAAATTTTTTTGAAAAACGCCAAAATTTTTTCCAAAAAGGGTTGTAAGGTTTAGATACATATATCCCCAAATTTTTTTTCTTGTTGCACTAACAAAAATTGCATTACAAATAAATTGGTGTTGAAGTTTCTGCAGCACTCCTGACTTTCATGACCCTTTTGAAACTTGTTCATGGCAAATAAAAGTCGCGTGAAAAAAATTTTGAGGTATCTTTACCTTTTCACTTCTGAAATTTCAGTGCGAAATGGATATCGGTTACGTCTCACCAAATTCCGCAAAGTATACTTAATGTCAAATTTGAATATATCAGAAATAGAGAAATTTCAGGTATTGATCAATTGGTGTCTCAAACGGGAACGGAAATAACACCTGCAGTCAAATCCTCACCCCGTTGTGGTACATATTTTATTCGGAATTAATAATTTTAATATTTAAAATTTTTTGCTAGCTACGAGAATATATTTACGAAATTAGCAAAAATAAACCCTTGTTGTCTGTGGTGAACCGATTCAGCACTTTCGACCAAGCCTCTCATTTTTTGTTTTTTTATTTATTTTATTATTTTTTTAAACTTATTTAATATCTGCTCCTTATAATTCAGTATTAAATTCGTTTGAAAATAAATTGTTTTCTATGTATAACTAAACTGGAGAGTGGAATAAAATCTGTATTTCTAGGAAACATAGTTGATTAAAAATTAGAAAACCAAATTTTTTTCAATTCGTAATCTATTTTTCATTACCTCGGGATATGAAGGTAGACTTGATGGAATCGAAAAAACAGGATAAAATCTGATAAAATTACGCAATAAAAACAAGACAGTACCTCACGCGGTTACTTATTTTAGTACAAATTCCAAACACAGTAACTTTATAATATAATTAAATAAAAATATTCAATACTTTTCGATTAATTGTATAAGGGACGTCCGAGATAGATTTTCGAAATGGGTTCAAAGATCAATCCACGAGCAACGTGCCAATGTCTCTTTCACATTGTTCCAACACATCACTGTTGCTATACGACAAATCTTTCAAAACATCTTCATTTCATTCGAATGCATTAATTTTTAACTCACGGACTTGCAAAGTTACTGGGCCACCAAATTTTTCTTAAAAATATCAATCCTCCCATCACTCCCCCTGTTCCCCCCCCGCCAACAAAGGGGGTGATCGAGAACTGCTTTAAAATTTCATCCAAGATCGAGGAGGTATTTGAAAATTCCATTCACACCGGCCCCTTGGTGACTTCCTCGGGTTTTGCATCCATAATGCAACTTCGGAAGACGATGACACTTCAAAGTGATTCGTTGCTCCCCCGATGCCGCCGGCGGACCCTCGAATCGAATTTAAAATGCAAAGTATTCCTCACTCATTCGTCAAGCGTTTGCAATCCTCTCCTTAACGACGCGTCAGTTTTCATTTGCAGCGGAGGCGTCATTAAAGATGAATTCTCCTTAAGAAACTAATGCCGTTGATGTCATAGAATATATAAGATGATGATGCTTGTCAAGTAACTTACTTTGCGAAAATAAATGATTACGTTGGAGTATCACTTTGTTTGAGAGAGAGGGAATGGTTTAGGTTAAAAGGAGAGCATTAACTATATTAAGAGAGTAAAAATTTAGATAATTACAGTGATAAGTTGCTTTGTGCGTGTTTTATGTGTTGATAATTGTGGTTGAGATTCAACAGAAACACATGACTTTAATCATGTTAAATGGATGACTTGTAATGTTTACAATTACAACAAATGCAGGAAAACTTTAATATTTTGTCGAATTTCTCAAAAGATGTACTGAAATAAAGGTTAAACTAACACTTGTAAGCAAAGATGTAAATTTTTTGTATCTATTATGGATGCGTACATCGTCCGAAGGTTTGATTTAGATGTTGTTGTTGTCGTGCATTTTTATCATCGGATACATATGAAATACGAGTAGAAAACAGAAAAATACAATACAAACATAAGAATATAGACATTTATTACAAATAATGATCCCAGGATATACACAGAAGAGTTGCGCTGCTTTCCATTAAAAGGGAATCTTTTTCAGGCGAATGTCCGATTACTTTTCCCGAAGAAAATACGGGATTCGAACCCGAACACACTCGGTTACAAGCCGAGGGTCATATCCACTATACTGGCTGGGTGACAGTGGATTTAGATGAAAATGCTTTATGAAAGAGAATGTGTCAATTTTTGCTCCTTGTTTAATTGTACTTCTTTTTTTGTGGTGTTTTATTTTTGTAAGCATTCGGCTGTATTCAAAGTGTATTGAATACATTGCTATATTCAACAACTAATCCTCTTGGGAACTCTTTGGGCTGGCATTCGCGTTTGTTTCACAGTCATCCCTCTTAAGAAGCAGCCATGAGATGCAAATTAGTTATTGTGTATAAAATTAGAGTTTATAATCGTAGATCAGTAGGAGCGGAGCGGCTGAACACAGTGTTACAATGGTAAGAATTAGAATTACGCATCGTGACTAAAGGACTTATTTTAGTTACTAAGTTGGTGAATCTAGAATTAAGAGGATAGGATTGATTAAAGTTAATCTATTCGGATTCCGTGCGTTTATTTATTTATATTCGTTGCTTTCTTTATATCACTCCAAGGATTCCCTTTATAGATTATTTGTTCTGGAATATTATCTTTGTTAATAATAAATAAGATTTTTATCATGGATAGTCTTGGTCATTCATCGTTACCTCCCACAGCTTTCGGTAGACAAGATGAAGAGGAAGTGACTTCAGGGTTAAGATCATTACAAAAGGAAAACAAATGAGTAACCACCAAGTGACCTAAGGCTTGTACTATAGTGACCCAAGGTTTAGTGGTAGTCTAGTGGCCAAGGTCAGGGACTAGTGGCTGGCGTGTCATAAGTTCGAGCCTACTACCGCTGAATACCCGCCTTGTAGAAGAGCTGATGGATGTTATATCTGTTGTGCTCAAACTTCCTAGACGAGTCTACGTTTAGATTGAAATCTGATTCACGTCGGACTTTCATATGGAGAATGCCAAGTACTCGTTACCTCCATAGCAACATCATTAAACTGCAACGTTACGGTGGTACAAGACTGCGTGTTTGGGAGAAATCATTGGGCTCCAGAATAGATCTGCATGCTCAAATCGAAACCTTTACATGCCACATTTATAGGGACATCATTCTGAAACAACACTTGCGCTTGTTTAGGGGTGTCATGAGCACAGAATTTGTGTTTAAGGATGACAAGATCCTTCTTCAACAAGCAAACATTGTGTAAAGGAACATTTTCAATCCGAGTTTATAGTCCCAATAGAATGGCAAGCATTCTCACCTGGCTTGAATCCGATACAGCATATGTGGCACATGCTTGGTCAATGAATTGCAGCCCTTCAAAGACCTCCTGCATGTGTAACTGAACTTAGGAAAGCATTCCATACTGTGGGGGAGTAATCTATCCAAAGATCAGAACGATAATTTGATACTCCTAGGATCCTCTTTTGATTTTCCTAGGTGTTGTACGGACTGTATTCCATCATATGGTAGCTATGCAATGTGCTAATTTAGCGTCTCAAACAGTGGGGAGCCTCCTAGGGGGACGAGATAACTCTACGAGGGGGCGTGAGCATATTGAAAAGTCGAAAACAAAAAATTATTTAAGAAAATTATTAATTTATGGAAAGAGTAAACAAACGAAATACATTCTGACATAATAAAAAGTAAAATGCACATGTACACTGATATAAAACAGTTATAAATGGCACCAGTATTTCATAATTAATCTAACTATACAAAGTTAAGAACAAGATTAAAAATTATCAGTGACCCCATGGGCTTGCTATACAAAAAATTATATCCAAAAATTAATATCTTGATAGTTTGTACAGTTTATAATTAAATCCTTAACTGTGCCTGTCAACAGTTACGCAAGTCCTTCCCCAATGCCACCGTTTTCCACATAGGCGAGCGTATGTAATATATTGGAGAGGGGGGTGGGAAGAAAAGTAATAAATAAGCAAATCCTATATATGAAATAAGTGAATCCTTCGCAAACACTGTCAAAGTCCATTTATTGCATTCTAAAGCCTTCGGAATAATTTTTTGGATAGCAGTGAACAGAAAATATCGTATTTCGGAAAGACGTACATATACTTCCGGGGCAATTATCGTTTTGGTTGAGCGAGACGTTTATATACGTCGGTGGCACTTAAGAGGTTGAATTCGTGTTTTAACTTTAGAGTCATAGTGTTATTGAATTCAATACATTGTTATTGTATGGAGGGCGATGAAAATTGTGACTCAATATTCGGTCACAAATAGTGAAAGTTTGAGAAGCACTGTACTAATTACCATACCAACCTGTTCAATATAAAGTTATTGTGAAGGGAGTATTTATTGTAATTGCTCCAGGGAGCAAAAATCGCTATTTTTGTGAATGGTATCACAATACTCTTCTTTTTTGTTCTTATCATTTATTTAATAAATGAGCTTTATGAGAATAAGTCACATTTTTCTGTTTCTAAATCTTTATTTCCCAGGCATTATCCTTAATTTATGGACATGAGCGTAGTACTTCACTCCTTTGAACGGCATCCAACACATTTTGTTCCATATTTGAAACAAAATATGTTGCATACCGTAACCCGTTGGTATACGCGGTCCATCCTCAATAGGAATACTACCTCGTGATGATCCATATTCACACAAATTGTGATAACAATTAGCAAGCATCCGGAGTCCGTTGCATCTCTCAGTGGGTACCTTTCGCGATACAATCTTTTCCTGCTCGTGCATTTCCTTCTGTCAGTCTATAAACCAGGTGCATATCTACCAGCTCGGGGTTTGTAAAACATTCCATACTCCTCTACGGGCGATGATAGTTCAAATGACTGTGGTGATAGGTCAGTTTCCTTAAATGATCTTGTAAGCAATGCTTAGCGCCGAACGAAGGCGTTTCCGACCTTGGGTTGCAATGCAAATCTGAATCCTTGCGATGTCCCTACTTCCTCTTAAAGTTTGGTGGCTGCGGTCAAGGTATTGAATCGAGGCTAGCTTGTCACGAGTTCAAGCCCAGTACCACTAAAGGCCCACCGTGTAGGGAAGTGATCGGTCTAGAGCTCAAACGTCCTCCCGTTGGTGTGGTGTGGTAGTTAGAAGAGGGGATGCCAGCTCGGGTGTCGTCCTCGTCACTTGACCGCGGTTCAAAATGACGAGGTCCGTCGCCAAAAGCTCTCGTGTAGCTGAACAGTGCGACGTTAATATTCACTCACTTACTCACCTCCTTAAAGTTTGTCCTACTGATCTTGAAACACCCTGTATATTGTTAAATTTCAGTAATTTCCACCAACCCCTGATTTTGAAACGTAATAAATTGATTATATCAAAAAGGAACTTAGTTTTCTATTTCATTCACAATGAAAATGATTTAGTAAATTTCTAAATACATACCTTAAAGTATCCGATTACTCTAAAATCATGAATTTTTTAAACTGACAAAGTTTTTTATGATTTTATTTTATAGGCCATCTTATGAGCTTTATAAAAATACCAAGGTTTTATTTCCCAATTTCTAGAACAAAAACTACATTTTAGTAAAAGCTGATGCCATAACTTTTTACATAATATGTCAAACGTTAAAATGCGTTTTACTCGAAACGTGTTTTTACTTATTTATTTTTTTTCGAAAACTCAAATGGGGACAGAGACTGCTCAGAAAGTTTTGAAAATAATTTGCTGAAATTTTTTGTGTATTTTCTGTATGATGTTAGAAGTTTTTTACCCTCAGATTTATCAATCATTGTTTTATTATAAAATTTACAGTTCTTCATGTGAATATAATCACTGGTTGTTTTTTAAAGCGATTTCATATAACAACTAAGATAGAGTGCTCTAGTTTTTAGTAAAAATTAAAATTTCTCTTATCCTGAAGGTCATTTCAAAAAGGAATTTCAAAGTAAAAATTGAAAAATTGAGAATTTATCATTTACTATTTGTACAGAGCGAGCCCAGTTTATGTAATTATTTGACTATTTTTGCCTATTTCCCCCCCATTTTAGTAGTAATAATTTATTTTTATTTTCTTAATTTTAGCCTTTTTTCCTTAAAATGTGTTAAATAATTCTAAGAACCACAAAAAAATCTCCATATCTACATTTTTTTAAAAAAATTGTCGCAAGTAGTCGGATACCTTAAATTATAAACAGGATTACTCTCATGTGGAACAAAATTTGAAATATTACGAAAAGTTATGTATACACAGAATAGAAAACTCCTGTTTTGTGATTAACATTTCATTTTGTTAGGGTCCATGAATTATTTTGTTTTCTTAAATAAAATTGCTAAGACCCTCTAAAGTGGCAAACATTTTCTTCCTTTACGATCGCAGTATTTTCACACATTTCCCCTTTTCTTTTTCCTTTTGTTCAAAGTTACGGGTTTTTACCCGGAAAAAATGTAGAAAGTTTTGTAAGCTCTTTGATAAAAAAAAAAAAATAGGGAAGAAACTACTCAGAAGTTTTATTGGACAAGATAAAATTCCTCTGGCTTTTATTGGGGTCTGTTTAAAAAGACAAGGGCTAAACAAAGATTTTCCTTGATGTTAACTTTTGTTCTAAACACATCTTCAAGTCTGGAAACTATACATTGACTTTTTAAAAAAAATATTTTTATGAAATGAGAAAATATTTCAGAAACTGAATTATAAGTTTAAAAAAACATATCAACATTTTTTATATTAAATTGGAACTATTCACCTCTAATAACGTAATTATTAGCTATTAGTATAATGAAAAGAAATGTTCTACTTAGGAATATTGCATATCATACGAGGATCCGTATACTTATATTCTGGACTCGGAACAATTATAAAAATGTTCTGAACCCATGCTTCGCTTTCTCAATACTTAAAGTATGTATTGTTACGAATTTTGTGTAAATAATGCTTAATATAGTGTAAATAGTTTATATCTGGATGTGTCATGCATTAATGTTACTTTTTGTTGTATTTATTTTATGTCAAAATCGTAATATTTGCAAGTAACGCCATTCCTTACATTATAATGGAGATTCAATGGAAACTTGGCGATAAAGCCAAGTTGGCATCACCTTTGGCGACCATATTTATAGCTTATTTATAACTATAATTTTCTGTCATAAAATAAATATAG